CATACTAAATAGTAGTTAGGTTTATGATTTAAGAACTAATTCTACTAAGCAGAGAAACAAGTATATACATACCTATATACATATAAAAAAAGAAAACAGAAAAGAAAATGGTAAAGGATTCAAAACTTGCGTGTTAATATCCTTGGACAGTGCAAGCAACTATTTCGAAGTAAGGAGCAAAATCAGGTCAGTGGTAGAGTTGTTGGACGCTCCGCCTCCAAGACGTGGGCACGTTCAAATTGAGGTTGGCACGGGAGTTTATCTGGCCAAGAACAGGTTCGTCCACAGTGCACCTAGCTTCGGTAAAAGGAAATTCGGCATCCAAAAAGGAAAGCACAGCTTCCAGGAAATCCCAGCACCGAACAAGTTTGATCCCAATAAAAAAACCCCTTAACTAAGGGGTTCTTTATAAAACTTGCCGCTTGTAGGCTATATGCGTATGCGGACAGACGAATACGGACCTTATGGTACCTCAATTCGTTTTCCTGGGGATACGATTTTCACACGGCGTGGTGTCAGTGATCCTTCATAAGAAGTCAGAATAAGGTTTTTACACCAAAAATAATATAATTTACAGCACTATCTACCCCTAAATTCTTGATGAATGACCACAAAAATTGCTCCTAGTTAAAGATGATTTCAGAAATCATAGATTTTTCACTGGCCACCAATTCACACACACCCTCCAAAAAATCTAACCTTCTCCTCTCTTTTCACCCAGAAAGCGCGCGGAAAACCCCCCCCCGGAAACTAATCATAGTGTGATTGGACAATAGCTTTGCCAATCACAGTCAAGCATGTCGGAAATAATTGAAAATATTGTTTTTTTCCCGATACAACAATGCAACGGAAGGCTATAATACTATATTCTAAGTGTAAATTAAGTAACTAAAATGAGACCATTTCATAATCGGGAGTTTTCAACTTAAAAATGCTATGCACAGTCGGGNAGTCAAGCATGTCGGAAATAATTGAAAATATTGTTTTTTTCCCGATACAACAATGCAACGGAAGGCTATAATACTATATTCTAAGTGTAAATTAAGTAACTAAAATGAGACCATTTCATAATCGGGAGTTTTCAACTTAAAAATGCTATGCACAGTCGGGCAACACTGTACCGCGCAGACTCTACTTGACTTAAGGCTTTTTTTCGCGAGTGCGCCGCCGCCGCCGCGCGCCATTATTCTATGGCTAGAAATTGGCCTCAATGATTTGGGATCGAGGGGGATTATCCCTCTTTATCCTGCCTCATCTCGTGTAGGCCTGGACAGCCTTCGTAGGTGGGCCCCATCCGTCGTCTACCCCGACNCGCGCGTGATTTTTAAATTTCTCGATTTCTCGACACTTTTTTCTCGTCTCGAGTAAGGCCAGATTTTCCGGGAATTCTCGCTTCGAGAAGTCTCGACCAGAAACCCTAAGTACAATATAGAAAATGATTATCCACCATCTTATAAACGATTAAAGTAGCCTGCAATGGCTTTAAGTGGCTTTTTACCGCGTGACCCCACGCCGTGGAGGCATATAGGTTATCTGCGGTTGAAGTACCACCTTGATAAGCGTCCGCTTATTCCTTAAACTGAGGGTGTCTCCACCTTTGAGTAAAACCCCATTCACAATCAATTCGCGGGCGAAGTCTGACTTGGCCACGCGTGCTTACCTTTCGCATTTCAATGTAGCCGTTCAGAATAAAATCTCGAGCCGGCAAACAAGTTGAAGTGCGCGTGAAACCTCGCAAGCTGCAAACCGTGCCGACTTCCGTAACGGTTACGGGATATGCGCAATATTATTGTTTTAATAAAATGTCAACATAATTTTAATTTGATGGAATTTTGAAATTAGTTTAACCATTATGTTGCTTAACCACGATGGAAGAATGAGAAACTTATTATCCCCTCTTTTACAGGTAACAATGCTGTTGTTGTTACTTAAAAAGACAGCTATTATAGCAATTCGAGCAAAAAAACTCCATTAAAAGACTTCTGGGTCTTGGGGGAGTAAGACCAATTCTAACGGCCCGGAGAAATCATGAATTTTATGAAAATTTTCTTCGTGAAGCTCGTTTCAGTGAGCCCAACATTTTTTTTCAATTTTATAATCTGTCAGATTTATCATAGTGGTCTGTAATTGGAGATACACTGTAATAAAAATTCGTCGCTAAACTCGGGAGCAGCTTGGAATTGGCTCACTTTAATTATTATTATGGATTATTATTGTACATTTTAATTTAAAATTTTGAAAACAAACAAAATATAAATGTAACCTAAAGTATACAGCTAAAACAGCTGATTTAAGTTGAAGTCAACGCGCATGTACCAAGTGTCGCCTGAATTTTATTCTGAATGGTCAAATCCGTGCAGACGTTTCCACGTGAGACGCTGGTCCATCGTCACGCCCAGGTATCGTGTTTGTCGATTCCAGGAGATGGGTTCCTGGGATAGTGTCAGTCTGTCGAGATTTTGAGGGTTTTTTCGTTTGGTAAAAAGGATAGCCGAACTTTTGTTGGGATTAATTTTGACTTTCCACCTGTTTCACCAGTTTCAAGTTGGTATAAGGAGTGTTGGAGGAGGGAGGCGGAATATCTAGGATCTACGGATTGGGATGTGATTGTCAGGTCGTCGGCGTATAAGTATATGTTGGTGTTGGGGGGATCTGGGATGTCGGAGTTGTAAATGGTGTATAGGTGTGGGGACAGGACGGTGCCCTGGGGGACACCGGCCTCCATGGGACGGGTGGTGGAAAGGGAATCTTGGATTTGGATGCGGAATTTTCGGTGGTGTAGGTAGGATTTTATGAGTTTGGTAAAGGATATGGGATATTGGTTGGTGAGCATTTTCATCAGTAGGCCTTCATGCCAAACCGTATCGAAGGCCTTTGCAACGTCCAGGAAGACAGTACCAGTGTACTGTCCCCTGTTGAAGGCCGCCGTGATGTGCTCGGTAAGGAGAAAGATTTGGAGTTCAGTAGAATGATTGAGTCGAAAGGCGAACTGCTCGTCTGGAATGACTTGCAGTTCTTGGGAGTGGGTTCTTAGACGGGGTATGATAATTTTTTCTACCACTTTGCTCATAGCCGGGAGCAGGCTAATGGGCCGGTAGTTGGATGGGATGGTGTGATCTTTGTTGGGTTTTGGGATAAGGATTATGTTTGCTGTTTTCCAGCGGGTAGGGAAGTGTTATTAGTCTGAGTGTCGCGTTTGTTATGTTTAGTAGGGTCATGAGGCCCTTGTGTGGTAGTCGTTTAAGTGTCGTATTATGTATATTGTCGGGTCCGGGGGCTTTTCTGTTTTTAAGTCTGTGTATTATCAGTCTTAGTTCGTCAGGAGTTGCGGGGGGGATTATGTCATTGTCTGGCTCTCTGTCGACGCGTCGGGCCGCGCGCTCAGCCACTATCTCGAATTCCTCGTCTTCGTCGGGCAGCTGAGGCAGTCTATACTGCAGTTCCAGGCTGCCGGCGAAAGCCTCGTGTAAACCACCCCCGCACTACCGTGGATTGGGGGAATTTTTCAGCGAGCGGTCTGTCGCAGGGCCCTCTGCGTTTTCCAGAGGCTGTTGTCTTGTGGATCCAGCGACTCCAGGTGCCTTGCCCAGTTGTCCTGTCCTTCACCCGTCTGTTAAGTACGTTTAAGGCATGTCTGTGTAGGGGGGAGGGGGGCGGTTGCGGGTGGCAAGCCTAAGTTTTTCAAGTCATCGGGGAGGGTACCCCGGGGGTTTGTTAGTCGGCGAACAGTGGTCTCCGTCGTAGTCTGAGTCAGGGCTAATCGAAAGTTCACTTTGAAAATTTTCGGTCTATCCCAAATCATATGCGAAACATGTTGACGCTAGGTAAATGAATGACTGTCGCGGATTGGGGCATTTCTTCCATATTTCTTCGTTGCCAGTTGAGTGGTTCAGTAGAATGTGTTTAAAATGAGTAGTCGCCGCCTAAAGAGGTCCATTGTTTGGGATTTTTTTGAAAAAAAAAATTATATAGAAAACATAATTTGGTATTATTTTCATTCATATGAATTTTTATCCCCGCTAAATAAAGCTCCCATCTGACCCCCCCGCGATGCCACTCATAAAATTCCTGCATACATTTTTTCTTGTATGTCGGTGCGGTGATATTCGATTTTCTCATCTATCCTCTCGGCCGTCGGCCGTCTTATCTCGAGATGTTGTAGCTCGTTAGAACGTTGGAACAATCGAAACATCTGCGCACTCGGTCGAGTAGCGCAGGTGTTAGTAACGCTGTGGCCACTGTCAATACTGTCATTCGTATCCGAATAATCGAATGATTCTAGAGGACCACTCGAGATACCTCGAGAGATTTTCATAATCGATATAATCGATAATTTTCATTCGAGTAGTCCCATCACTAGTTTTTAATGTCAATCTCAAGGGATAGGATTGCCGCCTCCAGATCATGGGTGATTTCGAGGTTAGAACAGATAAATTACTTATAACTATAACTTATTTTAAACAGCTAAACTTTACTTTGTTATTATTCTGTGATCAAGATATTAGAAAGCAAAGTATATACAAACCACGCAGACTTAAACGTTCGTTATAAGAAGTAAGAAAATACAATTCTAATAAAGCTACAATTATTTAAAAAGTAAGTTTGGATTATTTTTATTTTTACTAAGAATTTCCCTTGTATATAATTTTGTTTTAATTTTAAAAAATTTTTGCAATTGAGACGGCTTTCATACTATTACGCGAACGCCACTTTTTTAGCGTGTTCAATGATTTATCAAGTAGCGACCTTGACTATGTCGATTTGACCAATTATCGTTGAGAACGCCACAAAAATGGCGTTTTCGCGTATACTGTGGAAACTGTCTGATGCTGAGATCCAAAGAGGGTAAAATCGGGTATTTTCAACTTCTCACTTGTAGAAAATTACATTTTGCCTGTGGCAACACTGCCGAAATGTCAAACCGCAGCAAACTATAGTTAACCAGGTTAGCGGTTTTCTCGCCAAAAAACCCTTATTATTAGGTATTGATTTTAATTTTTAGGTGACATAATTTTGACATTCTAATCTAACTCTAACACAATTACCAATAACAGTAACATATTTTACAGGTTTTGTATTTAATTTATCTAATCTATATGATTAAACACATGCTTTATTAAAAAGTATGTCATCTGCAACAGTAAGTAGACATACAAAAATTAGGACAATAAACTTATTCAGAAATTTTAGATGCCGCTTTTGGATGATGACACTATAGCTTTTGGTGAAGATTTAGATACAGGCAGAAGTAAAGATTCTTTAACGTAAGTTATTTCAATTTTTAATTATTAAAACTATACCATGTAAAAATAACAGAATATTAAATTATTCAACACTATGTCTTATTCTTTGTCAATAATTTTTAAAATGAGTAGGTGAGAAATGTATTTGTCAAAGCTTTGAACGGTCTGGAATATTCTCATTAGTTTTAACAGATACGCTACCAGATCAGTAAAAATAAGGTTTAATGTCAACAAATTTTGACATTTATAAGCCATCAAAATCTAGGATGTATCGCTGTTGACATACTCTGGTGTACTTAATATATATTTTAGTACTATTATTTATTACTTTTATTACACTATTAAACAGTGCCTCTTTTTGTGGCATGTTGTCTTGGATCTAACGGTGACAACTGTACTACCCCCTAATCGTGAACAGCCTTAGTTCCCCTAAATTCCTAAAACTCTAGACAATGTCAAGAATTAGGTTCCATCAAAATTTAAATCTACTAGAATGTATGCTGGCCTTTATTCGTCACCCTCTCTCAAAACAAAGAACTTTTATTTATCTTGAAAACATGCATTTTCCTATTTATATTTGACATCAATTTTCTTGAGAGGCTAATAGGCATATCCAACATTTTAACAAAATTTGGGTTTACTGTCTACGTGTACATCGTTTCACTTTTCATGGAGTCGCCCTTATATCTGTCTTACTTTTAGATTTTAAAGTTTATTGAAAATATTCATACAAAAAATGCATGGTAAAAGAGAAAGCAAAATAATTCTCTTCATTTCAATTAACCAACTTAATTTCCTATGCATTTTTAAACCCTTTTATTATTTCTTTCATATTTCTTGCCTAGCAATTTCGCCACATCTGTCTAATTTAATTTCCTCTCATACAAAGCCCGCCCTTATAAATTTTCGTAATAGTGCTCCAGAAATCGAAATAATTATTTAGTAATTTAATGTTGTAATTTTGTCTAGGAGCAGATGGGTTCTTACACTAATCTTTCTTTAATGACTAAAAAATTTGTTTATATCAGAATAATCACTTATTATATCATGTTGCGTGTAATTATTTCATACTAAAATGTCAAAACGTTTTAATTTAAAATAATCGAGATATATGAAAAGTAAAACACAATGTAAATTTGTCCTTATTCTTAACTATCTTAAATTTCAAATATCTGCATTGTATACTAACCAGCGTTGCCAGACGTCCCGATTTTTAACCCAAAATTAAATGTTCTGCGGGGAACAGGCTCTGTCCCGCTTTTCCTGCTCTTGTTTTGTTTTTTTTTTTTTTGTAGGCATCAATTATTTTTTTATTAAGTAGATATTCAAAGAGTTTCAAAATCCCGCGTTGCCTGAAAAAAAATCTGGCAACACTGATACTAACATAGTTTAATAGTCGTATCTAACACCAAACCAACATGTTAGATATGCGGATAGGAGACAGAATGGCAGAATCGAAGACAGCACGCAATGTTCTTAAACAACAATGCAAAGTAATAAACTGTCAATCAAATTAAAATTGTTTCTGTTTTGAGAGTATTGATAGAGGGGACTATACTCAAGATATATGCCTGTACGCATAGTCAATCGCCAGCGACTCACCAGAGATTCGTCGTTCGCTGGTCGAGATTTTCAATGCAGTCATTCGCCAGCTAAGTCAAGCATGCGCATTAGTGAAACTTCTGGCGAAGCGCCGGAGATTGCCAGTAGCATCTCCAACATTTCTCCAGAAAACAAGTAACCTATTTTCATTGTGTTTTTGAGATTGTTCCAATAATGGATTGTGATTTTAACATGTATAATGCAAACAGAGATATTTCTGATTTAGATATAGTCACAACTATACAGGGTGATTCACAAACGGTGACCAAAAATGAAACCTAGTATTCTTTGGTGAATTTTAAGGGGAGTTCAAAGATCGTATAAAGTTTTTATTTAAGACTTGGATAAAAAGATACAGGGTGTTAAACTTAAAAAAATATTTTAAATTTTTTTAAATAATTTAAAAACTAGTAACTGAAATAATTTAAAATTGGGCACATGTATTTATGTAAACATTGTCCAAAATCTGAGGCTTTTTCCGAAAATTTAGATGCTCCAGTGCCGGAGATATAGGGTATCGGTGGCATATTTTTCTAAATTAAATAGTACGCCACTGCTTTACGGTCATCAATCATGATATTTTCGAATTCATCTTTCAATTTTCTACTAATTACTATTATGTTTATTGAAAAAGTCTGATTTTCGAATAAAATTCGGTTTAAAATTACATAGTAGATTGCAATAACAACTTTGAAATTCTGAGCAGTTCGAAAAAAGAATAAATATTGCTTTTCATCATATTCAAGTAACAATAAATTTCGAACAAATTACATTTTCATTACTAAAAAGATGTCGTGCCTGTGTTCGTCGAAATGGAGTACTTTTGAGCATTTACTCAAATAAAATCATTAAAATCATGACTAATGTTATTAATTTCTTTATTCGATTAAATAATCGAATGATTAGTGTTGATTTACTCGAAAATCAGGCTTTTTTCCTCAGGCCTCAGATTTTGGATAATATTTACATAAATACATGTGCCCAATTTCAAATTATTTTAGTTACTAGTTTTTATATTATTTAAAAAACTTTAAAATATTTTTTTAAGTTTAACACCCTGTATCTTTTTAACAAAGCGTCCTAGATAAAACCTTTATACGAAAGACTTCCCTTAAAACACCTTTAGATAATTATGCTTTGACAATAATTTATGTGATACAAACAACTATATACCAGAGATGCTCAAGTAATACATTTCAAAGCACCATGCCATGCTCAGGTTAGAACAGTACGTATTCGGTGTAAAATAGCATTGCGCATGCTTAAGCGCCTGTAGTTGAGACTATCACTCATCTGGCGATTCGCCAGAACGGAGATCGCCGGGCAAATGTCTATGCAATAGAAATTACGTGCCGTTCTTTCGCCAGAGATTCATCAGGTATAACTTTGGCGAATCGCTGGCGATCGACTGTGCACACGGGTGATAGTTTCTCAGGCATGAATTAGCCTAGCCACCCTTGCACATTCTAGATTTAAATTTCAATGAACTGCACCCCCTTGCACTTGAGATATTTGAAAAGTGGATTTTTATTTTTTAATTAAATTGAAGTAATTTGTAATAGTACAAACCTTACACCAATCTCACCAATGTGTTGTTATACAGGATTTTTTAAAAAAAAATGAAGTACAAATTTAATATTGCTGCCATTATGCAATATTCCTTCCAGTTGTTTGTTAATGTTGAAATATTTGTTTAAGAAATTTTAAATTTAAAAAATAATTTTAAAACAGTTCTGGTAACTTAAATATTTTTAATAAAAATACGAAAATGAGAATAGATATTCTGAATTATCACTGAAAATGGGAAATCTATAAATTCCCTACTTAAGCTTTATGAACCATTTTAGGCACCCATATGTAACATGTTTTCATCTAGTATTTAGAGGAGCTTCTATCATTGTGTACATGCTATGTGGCTGGTTTAGTGACAGTTTTATTGCCAGTTTTGTAACTGTTGTATTATTCTTGTCGATGGATTTCTGGACAGTAAAAAATATTACTGGAAGATTAATGGTAGGACTGCGATGGTGGAATTATGTAGATGATGATGGAAAATCGCATTGGGTCTTTGAATCTAGAAAGGTCTTTTTTATTTCTTTTTATTTTTATATATAATATTCGTAGTTAGTTATATGTGGCCCTTTTCAGGGCTCTTCACAGAATAGAATAAATGAGAGGGAAGCCCGCATATTTTGGACTGCACTAATATTAACTCCACTTATTTGGGCCATATTTTTTATAGTTGCACTTTTTGGATTAAAATTAAAGTGGTTGGTAAGTACTTACGCATAGAAATAAATAATAGAAAATAATATTTTCTTTAATTTAAATATATTTGCAATATCCATATTTTTGTCCTTTGAAATATAATTAGGAATTAATTTCAATTAATAAAAAAATCAATAGTGGGATTCTGGGATTTCCAATTTTACGTTTATATACCAGTTCAAAAAATTTTTACCTTCAGTTAATTAAATCACTAGTCTGAATTTCATTCAACCAATTTCACCTGGCTGGTGAGATGAGCAAACGTGAGAAAGCGTGAACTACATATAAAAAGTTAGAATATCGAGTAGTGATAACTAAAGTACAATCAGGAGAAAGCGAAAAAGGATAACTCCGATATATTTATTACTTTAAATGCATTTAATCACATTTATTTATATGCTTATTTATTAATTATTTTAATATTTATTCTCTGCTTTGTGCATCTAAAATTTTGGTCGTTCATGCATTCGGACATATGACATGACATAATGACATCCCTCAAAACAAAAAAAATAAACAGTATGTTCTACTTAAAAATATCTTTTTAAATTGATGTTCAATTGTTTTTCTAATCACAAATTCTAATTCCGATGTCTTACAGATGTCTGCATTGTTGCTTCTTAATAATCTTAATATCAATGTAAATAGAAGTATTTCGTTGTGTATTTCTTATTCAACAATTCAGGGAAATGCTTGCTCTCTGTAGTTTCCCCTAGATTTTTTGTAGAAATATACTAATCTTTTTCCCTTTACATGATCAAATACTCAGAAAATCTTACTTTTTAATAGCCTATGTTATTATGAAGTTTTTGAATCGTTTTTATATTTATTTTTTATTTTTTTTTCAGTTACTAGTAACTATTGCTCTCATTCTTAATGGATCAAACTTATATGGTTACATAAAGTGTAAAGTAGGAGGTTCTGAAAACTTAAGTACCGTCACTTCTAATTTCTTCAGGAAACAGGTACTACAGAATGCTGTTTCCCTAGTGGCACGACAAGCTTCTAATACACCAGCTAATCCATTAAGTCAGCCTACTAATACAGTTTAAAGTTTTACAATACCAGATGTAAATGTTTAATTACTTTTAGTAACATTGTGATATTCATTATTAGAATAAATGTTTTAAGTTATTTTTAGAAGTATTTTTATTTTGCGACATATTCGTGTTCTATCAATGAATAATAGTGACAATGTTCTACCATGGGTAATATAAGCTACGCTAGCAAATTTGTATTTTCTGTCTTCCAAACATTGAATAACGAATATTCCTCGTCGTAAGTTTCTTTAGTTTTTGGCGGAAGTAATCCCAAAGATGCAGTTTTCACTTCTAGTCGAATGTTTTCTGGCAGACTCCCATCATATTCTACATACACTCCAAAATGAAAATCAGAAAAAAAGGATATTGATTAGATTCACTGACAACATTAAAAATGTCGCAGTTATATTTTAATGTTTAAAGATGATGCCACTTCAAGAAGTAGGTTTTTTGACCATTTTCTCTTTCTATGTTTCAGTGAGAGGCATGTCATTTCAAATCTGCCTTTTGAGCTCTTAATTCAACTCGGTAATTAACATTTTACATTTTGAAATGGTCCTTCCTTTAATCAGCCTACAATAATTACATTTATTTGAGAAACTTTAAAAGATAGTTACTGTTCGTATTTTTCTGATTTTCGTTTTGAAGTGCGTGTAGAACGTAATGGGAGTCTTTGCCAGAAAATATTCCACTGGAAGCCAAAGGTGCATCTTTGGGATTACTTCCACCAAAATCGAAACAAACTTACAAGGAACATTTGTTACTCGAAGCTTGGAAGACAGAAATTGCAGTACAAGTAAACTTGGAAAAGTTATCGTGACATATATTTTTTACAAAGGGTATGTTATTTAATGGCAAGTCTTCAACTATGTAGGTGCAATATTCAGTGTTCTACATTAAATGTCTACATAAATACAGCTATTAGCAAATATCACACTATTATAAAATAGAAGCAGGTTGGATACGTGGCCAAATAATCGTCAGTTTTAAGAGAAGAAATCAACAAATATCTTGTAGACACACCAGATGATAGCTTTTTCTTGAAAGGTACATTGTTTACTTATTTTAAGTTGTTTTACTATATTATTGTCTTATGTCTAAATGGTTGCAGAAAAAACTGATATTCTACTGGTTCATTTCCCATTGATGAAAAACAACTGTTTCTCAACTACCCACTAAGAAAATACACTGTTCAACCCATAAGCCTTAACACTTTTAGGAAAAAATTTACAAATTCAATAGAATTTCTATTATCCGGCACTTCATTACACTGGCACGTCCAGTAATTCGGCGTAATTTTTTCCGCGTTCGTTTTCTATACTTGAAGAATGCAGTTTATGAAGTTATAGTTTCGTTGAAATATTATTTTACAGAAACAAAAACATTACAATGTACATACAAATGTAACATGTATGTATGTATGTAGCAATCTCTTTGTTAATAAACAATTAAAAGTAACATTTTTTAATTTAATACTGTTTACATTATACATATTCCATTAATTCGAATTTTTCAGTACTTTTAGGTTTTTAAACGTGTCGGATTAATGAGATTTTACTGTATTGGACAGATTCCTGAAATTTCAGAAGCATATACCGGTCAATCATTTCACAGATCAGCAGCTACTTTTTTATCAGATTGTGGTTGTCACTATTTTAAAGCATTTTGGAGTTGGAAAAATGACAAAGTAGCTGAAAGATATGTTGAACATTCTCTTCAACAGAAAATTGAGATTGGGAAGAAAACTTTGAATAACAACAATGCTGATGCTGGTTCTACTACTGTTTGTTTTACATTACTGCTGACACTACTACTACTGCTTGCCCTACAATCACAGTACGAAATATTAATAGAAGGATGCATCACAAAAATATGTCCCTTGTATTAGTTTTAGTAATAGAATCCAATTTCACAATGCAACTTACTTATACAAAAATTCTCACATTTCTAAAGGTTAAATTTTGAATTATGAATATCTAAGTCAAATTTTCTACAGAGTGGTCCATTCTAAACTACATCCTGATCAAGATAGTTTCAGGATCATCAAGAAATAAGGGTACCTTTTTTCATAAAACTTAAAAAGAACATATTCTTATAACACAAAAAGCAGTATAACACTATATCGTCATATAGTTCAATCTATAAAAATAAAATTTTATATTGTAGTTATACTTACAGAGTTATTTATATGTAGTTTTACTCCATGAAACTCCGAGAGCAGATAATACAACGAAAAATAATGGTACTTTATCATATAAACTTTTCTACTAAACTAAAAACTAAAAAATTTTCATTTACTGTAAATATCACCTGAAATAATAGAGGTATTTGAACTAAATTTGGTATATGTTATATTGGGTCAAGTTTGCATAAAATATTGCAATATCAAGACTGTTAACGCAAATCAGTGGCAGAGATATGGGAAACTTATTTGACTATTTTATAAAAAAAAGTAGTACGGTCCTGTCCAAAATAAAAAGCATGCCAATGGTAACAAAAACTACCTCTTACATGTTGTCGATATCTGTCTGTTTTACGGCAAATTGGATTTCTCTTTTTCCTTTCAAATTTGCCAGATACTGTGCATGTGCGTTATGTACTTTTTAAATTTCTGTTAGAAATATTTTGGCTAGTTTCAACTAATTTAAATAAAAAATTAAGTAGCTTCCTTCGAATCAATATTATTATTATTTGATTATTACAAGAACTTCAAGAGAATCATTAACTTCCATGTTTTTTAGATTTCCCAAACATTTTTTTCCGACAGTAAAATTTTTTGTGTGAATAACACCGTTTTAGTAAATAAAATTGAAAGCAAAAATAAATGTGGAAAACAATTTACAAAAGCTGAAATACACGAAAATTTAATTAAAAGGTTAATAACAAAATTACATAATTCAATGCAAAAATTAGATTAACTAACTAATAAATGATTATTGCTGCTACTAACATTATTGAGTACATTTCATAATGGGTGTTCAAAATGGGTACAATTAGCTACGTAGGGTGTTACAATATTTAATTATATCGCTGGAGCTGAACCCTGTCTTTTAATTATGCTTAATATGGAGAAGTCTATGGGGATAAGATCTGGTGCTCTCGCTGCCCATGGAATAGGGCCCTCTTTGCCAATCCATCTGTTAGGGTAGTTGACGTTTAACCAGTTTTCCCTGCCAGAATGAACAGAAGCCCCATTTAATTGCAACCACATATTCCTCCTTAAGGCTAAAGATCCAGCATCAAATAAAAATTTTGCACATGAAATTGATGGAAATTAATGATTTCCTTAAAGTTCTTGTAATAATCAAATAATATTATTGATTCGAAAGATGCTACTTTATTTTTTTATGTAAATTAAAAGTCCAATTTGCCATAAAACGGAGACATATATCGACAAAATGTAAGAGGTATTTTTTGTTCCCATTCGCACGCCTCTTCAGAAAATATAATTATTTTTTGCACAGGACCGTATTATTTTTTTTAGAAAATAGTTAAATGAGTTTTCCATATCTCTGCCACTGATTACAAAAGTCTTAATATTATAGTATTTCGTGGAAATTTGACTCAATATAACATACACCAATTTTAGATGCCATTATTATTCGTTGTACTATCTGCTCCCGAAGTCTCTTAAAACTGCGACACCCTGTATATAATTAAAAACAATTATCGCTTACTCAATGACAAATTTTTTCATGAGGAAAAAATAAATTTATAAGAACTGGATTAAAACCTTTGGCAAAAAAATGATTACTTACGATTAAAAAGGAAGGGATAAAAATAATAGGTGGGGTCCTTATCACATAGATAACAAAATTTTTATTTTTTTTTCCAACTACATTAAAATAAATTAATACAAGTACAAATTATTTAAAATTTTTGAGACTCCTCAAAAAATAATTTTCTTTGTACTACTGGAATATGTTTTGTCCGAAATAAATAATTTTCATTCCCCAGTACACTATATAATCTTTCTCCTTCCTTTCCCATCATTTTTCGAAGTGCTTGATTTCTTTCCAAAATTTTGGTGTAGTATTCTTTTCCACCTTCCACAAATATTGTGTTCTTTTGCTTTAATTCTCTATCAACATTTTCTTCAAAATATATTTGTGACACATCTTTTAACATCGTATACAGACCAACAACAAATAGACCAACGAAACCATACATTGTAACTCTGACTCCTCGTGGTTTATTGTAAAGATTAAACTTATTATTAATAAAGTTTCCTAAAGAATAAGCTAATACACAAGAACTTGTTGCAAAAATTGTATCAAGCAAAGGCTTTGGGGTTTGTCTGAATTTTATTTCTTTTGACATGGCATATATTTGTGCATTTTCAGACAAAACTAGAGAATTCAGTAATTTTTTACCATCTTCCGATTCCCAAATTACAGATTCGTGGTTTACCTGAAATCATAATAAATTGAAAAGTGCATATTTATTTTAAACACAATTTCAAGATACCTAAATTAAACCAAACTAGTACAACCAATTGTTGTGCTGTGTGCTCAATAATTTCAAAAATGGCAGCATTTATATATTAATATGTAAGAGAAAAAGTAAATTGTTCATACATGACTATAAGATTTTCGATGCTTTTCCTGTAAAAAAGATATGTAACGAGCGTTCAAATAAAAACGTGGTCGAAGTTGGCTCTGACACATTGGACGTAGGGAGTAGCTTATAGCGACCAACTTAACCTCATTTCTCAACGAGCTGTATAGCAGCTGTCAGTTTCAATAACGTTAATGACTATATAACTTTATTTTAACAAGTTAAACGATAGGAGAACAAACGCAAATCTTTTTTAACACTGTGTTGCAGGTACCGACTGATACTCCCACCATTTGTGATAAAACACGTACAGAAGTTCTTGGCGCATTTTCCATTATTTGTTGGACATTTTCTTTTAATTCTTCAGTCCGCTTTTTAGGTCGGCCGCTTCCTTCTTTTCTTGTTACACTGCCCGTTTCACGAAAAACATTAACACAACGCTGAACTGCACTTTGAAAAATTTTGTTCTCAACAACGCCGGGAAATTGATTTTGAAATTCTATGAAACGTTCCTCAATAGAATACTTCCATATTCCATCAATTTTGCGTCCATTTCTAAAGTAGGACTCTGTGATAAACACTTTTTGTTCTTGAGAAAACACCATTTTAAACGCTTTTTAAAACGAAAATATTCAAATTGATAGCGGCGATATAGCGCTTTGACAGATGACGTTTAAGTTCATTTGCTATACGCTACGCCCTACGTCCAAATTTTCTGAATCAACTTGACCACGTTTTTATTTGAACGCTTGTTATTTTCATACAGAGTGAAAAATTCTTTGGAGTAATATGTTGCATGTAGTTGACAGCAGCACCTCTGGTGGATATATTTAAACAATATTAATAGAAAGTATGTGTCCGCACTGGACAAATGTCTGTACCAAATATAAATGATTTATGCCACATCGTTCAAGATAAATTGAAGGAAATATTGGTTGGCTCTACAACATTCAAGACCCTTTAATTCCTCAGTAGTGCAACTTTTGTCTAAGGTATATTTAGTTCATTTGCCTTTTTTTTTCATCTAGATGCACCAGTAGCGTTTTTGCTACTCTATTCAAAATCAGCCTGTATATTATAGTCAAACTGTGAGCTTTTCTAGGAAAAAGACTACCCAACTCAAATATTTGCTGAAGAGGTTGCATATTTGGAAAAGCGCTGCTTGCCTCTTCCACAACACTCCGGTAATAGCAAATCAACATCTCAACAATCTGACAAATCAATTAATCTTACCCTGTTTATTTTTTAATCGAAGTCTAATTTACTGTGGTTATTAAGTATTTGCTCAACAAAAAACATTATTTGTTGTTATTTTTCAGAATTATGAGATGATATTTTACATTATCCAGTATCACTATTCTTGAACCATGGGCTGCCTTGTCCACAGAGTATACCTGGACAATTCCAATCTAAGCTCGGCACTCGAGAGCCGTGCAAGGAAAGTAGATAGGTATATCACTTTACGTGGTATATTAAAGATTGACTGCGATATATAAAAATATCTGGTTTCTGGCAGTTTGAATTAAAATCCTTATATCCTTAATTAGCTTAAAAAGTCTAGTTCTAGGGTAAAATGTCTTAAGATTTGTAGATCGCTGCCCACTTTTTGATATTCAGTAAGCAACTTTAAAACTTTTAAGTTAAAAATATGACGGTATAAATTGACTGCATGATTTAGCTGGAGGACACATTTAAGATTTTTGATAAATATACCAGTCAAACAATTTCTCCATACATCCCAAGATTAAATAACAACCAGATTTATCACACATAAACGAATTAAGTATACCGTTTTATTAATTTCTAAAACAATTCTTATTCTACATATAAAATACTATAAAATTTAACATTTTTTGAGTCAAATATTTATGGAATACCCATATTTTATACTATACCTTAATTTTAGATCTATCTACCATATCAACATTATCGCATGTAAAGTTTGCTGGTAATCCAACAATAACTCCAAATCTGCTGTAACTACTTCCTGCACTCATCACATCAAAGCCGTAACAGTGAAATGGTTTATATAAATGTTTATCGACAGTTTCAACCTGAAATTGAAACAGAAGATACAATTTTGATATTATGCAGGTTATCCAGACAAAATTTAATATAAAATTGCTTATGGCTGGTGTTTTATAGACATAAAATCTCACTTTTAGCGTTGAGTGAGAAATATATAAATCTACAAATATAGATTGAAAGAATCAAAATTTGATTAGGAATTAGGGCATATTTGGCCTTACTATATTATTTTATCCCAGGCCATTTCCCTCAAATTCATCCCATTTTTACCTTGTCTTGTACAAGTAATGTCGTAATATTTATAAAGATAATTAGACATATACCTCAAGTAAATCTAAGGCTGTTTGAAACCTCTCCTGAAGCTTTTTTGGTAATTGGACTGATAAACCATTCCTACAATTAACTATGATATTAAGCATGCTACTACTTATTAACCTTTTAAATACTTGTATAAATGCACAATCTCTTTGTACTGGTCTAACAATAAAGTATGTGGCAGGAAATTGGCAAAAAGTACACATGTAGAAATTGCTCCTGATCCATAAAAACAACATTTCTTACCAGCATCGGTAAGAAACCAATTCGCTATTTTTTGAATAGACATCACAGGTATAACCACAAAACATATACAGGTAGAACCTAAAAACAGGGCCCGAGAACTTATACTTGAAAATATGGGGAAACTGGGAACCACGTGACTTGAGATGGATATACAAGTTGTGGAAAGAGTTTATTGATGTCGCCACAAAGATTTTGTAGAATAAATTTTGACAATTGCAATTATGAATCATTTCATGTCATTCATGTTGTTCATGTTTATTGTTGGTTAGGTTTGGCTAGTGTTGGTGTGTGTTTTATTTGTGTTTTTAGTGTGTTTATAAGATATTTCATTCACATTTATTTATAAAACATAATAATGTCTGATCATCATATAATCACATTTTTTTATTAATAATAAAATGTTTTGTTTTTTGTTTTTTGTTTTTTTAATAAAAAATGTGATCAGAGGTAGGTAGTTTTTTTTTATGGATATCAACACAACGAAAAATTTAAAGTTGCATAATAAATCTATTACAAGAATTAATCAAAGATTGGTTTAGTAAAATTATTTACTTGTAATATTTTTTTATTCACCGTGAAAGCTAATAAAATATAGAAAGCACTGAAACTCTATAATCATTTCCACTCTTTTTTTTTCAAAATATGTACTGAAATTTGAAATTCTTTCAACAAACATTTTAAAAAGTTACACTATCAAAATTATTTATTATTTTAAGTAGGAAGACTATTAGAGCATTTAAAAGTGTCTTTAATGCTTGAGTGATTTTAATGCTTTTTATCAAAAGTACTTATTTTCTCATGGTGACAAAAAAAATTATCTACGTGAAAATTATTTTACAAAATTAATTTCTGGGTGATCTGTGTAGGGTGAGATTTGTTATGTAATTTTAAATTAGCGGCGTCAGAATACCTAAACAAATATTGAGTAGTAGTGATGGGCAAAACGATTCATTTTGATGTTTCGAATCAAATGACTCATTTCACAGTTGAGAGTCGAAACTGGGAGCCGACTCCCAACTCCCATGGTAGATATCGAATCGCTAAGATCGTAATTCGCATAATCACGGTGGCTCCGTGTCGGAACGGACGGAAATAGCGGAATCTGGGCCGATTGACGAATTTTGTCAATCTTGAGTTTGACCGATAATTCGATTACACATTTCAGTTCAGTGCGAACACTCCTCTAGCGAGGACGAAGCCCCAAGACACAAAAAATCAGACAAAACAAACAAAACACGAACACAAACACCAAACACGCGCCCCCCGACACCAAAACCCTCCACAAGCGCCCTACAAAACACCCCACAAAACACACAACAGACAGACAAAACCAAACAAGTCCCCCCGGTAATCTTGCGAAAGCAAGAACGGTGGACACAAGTACAAAAAATACTCACGACACTTAACATTAACTATACAAAAGCCAAATTGACTAAAGACGGTATAGCCATATACCCAAACACACCTAATGACCACAGACTATTGACAAAGACACTGACAGACAAAGGCGAGGAGTACCACACCTTCACCCTCAGCGAAGAAAAAACGCTGAGGGTGGTGATACGCGGAATACCTGCGGGTGTTTCGCCAAGTGAGGTCCAACTCGACCTCGCAAGACAAGGGTTCCCCGGCGCAATAGTGCACCGCATGGCGAGCCGTCAAAATAAACAGGAAATGCCCCTGGTCCTAGTTCAGGCCCCACAGGACCAGGAGGACATCCTGAAGGTAACCCGCTGCTGCTCGCTCGTGGTTCGAGTAGAGCTGCAGCGAAAGCAGCGGGTTGCCACACAGTGCCACCGGTGCCAGCGGTTCGGCCACGGCCAGACCCGGTGCACAGCTGAGCCAAAGTGCGTAAAATGTGGCGAAAACCACAGCACGCACGTATGCAAAAAGGCCAAAGACACGCCCGCCAGGTGTGCAAATTGCGCCGGGCCACACCCCGCCAGCTATATGGGGTGCCCTCAGTACCCCAAAGCTAAAAACACAAAAACACAAAACACAGACACACACACGACACAAAACACTACACAAACACACAGACAGCCCCTCCTACCCACCCCAAACACAACCCCAGGACGCACATACGCTGACATGACCAGAAAAACACAAAACACACAAAAACAAAAACACAACACCTCACCACACGCACACACAGACACGACACCCTCCCAACCGGGCGCGGCGGCCCTGATTGACGCAACAAAGCGTCTTCAGGACTTCTGCGTCCAGCTGACGACCATGGTGTCGAATATGCAAAAATTATTCGACTTCTAATGGCTCGTCGGCCCTCCCAACCCTCCTCGCTGAGAATTTCGTCCTGGAACCTTGACGGGTTCCGGGCCAAAAAAACGGAACTCGTGGACATCTTGAACCGTCTAAACATAGACGTTATGGCTGTCCAGGAGACCTACCTCAGCGAGGCATCCCGTACCTCCATCCCTGACTATGACATATACAGACATGACAGAAACCGTAACGGGGGTGGTGTTGCACTCATAGTAAAGAAGTGCATCGACCACTATCCGCTGCAGCGGCTCCAAACTCAAAACACAGAGGCCGTGGCGATAGCGGTGAGATCGCTACGGCATGGAGACGTTGCGGTGGTGTCCTGTTACCACCCACCCAGACTACCACTACTTGACAATGACTTAGACAAAATCCTTTCCTGGCCCCAGACAATTGCCATCGGGGACTTCAACGCGAAGTCCCCCATATGGCACAGCGGGACGACGACCACAAGAGGTCGCGTCCTGCTGAATTACCAAGACAGACACGACGACTTGACTATACTCGGACCGACAGAACCGACACATTACGGACCCGTAGGACGCCCCGACGTTATCGACATTGCCCTCTTAAAATCTATACCGTTAAATGCCCAAATATCCACCCAATACGAAGGGTCTTCCGCCCACAATCCAATATTTCTGGATCTGGGGCGAAGACAGAGATATGAAGGCACCTTCACGAGGAGGTTCACTGACTGGGAGCGTTTCCGAACAGTAATGCAAGGAAACATGGCGCTCCCAGTCATCGAAACCACCCATGATCTGGAGGCGGCAATCCTCTCCCTTGAGACTGACATTAAAAACGCCCTGACTCAGACTACGACGGAGACTATTGTCCCCCGACTGACAAACCCCCGGGGCACCCTCCCCGATGACATAAAAAACTTAATACGTGACAGACGACGTGCGAAACGGCTTGCCACCCGCACCCGCCTCCCCCGACACAGACATGACTTAAACGTACTTAACAGACGGGTGAAGGCGGCTCTGGATGAACTGGCCCAGGATAACTGGGCTAGGCACCTGGAGTCGCTGGATCCACAAGACAACAGCCTCTGGAAAACGCAGAGGGCCCTGCGACAGACCGCTCGCCGTAAAATTCCTCCAATCCACGGTAGTGTGGGGGTGGTTTACACGAACCAGGAAAAGGCCGAGGCTTTCGCCGATAGCCTGGAACTGCAGTGTAGACTGCCTCAGCTGCCCGACGAAGACGAGGAATTCGAGATAGTGGCTGAGCGCGCGGCCCGACGCGTCGACAGAGAGCCAGACAATGACATAATCCCCCCCGCAACACCTGACGAACTAAGACTGACAATACGCAGACTTAAAAACAGAAAAGCCCCCGGACCCGACAATATACATAACACGACACTTAAACGACTACCACACAAGGGCCTCATGGCCCTACTAAACATAACAAACGCGACACTCAGACTAAGACACTTCCCTACCCGCTGGAAAACAGCAAACATAATCCTTATCCCAAAACCCAACAAAGATCACACCATCCCATCCAACTACCGGCCCATTAGCCTGCTCCCGGCTATGAGCAAAGTGGTAGAAAAAATTATCCTAACCCGTCTAAGAACCCACTCCCAAGAACTGCAAGTCATTCCAGACGAGCAGTTCGCCTTCCGACCCAATCACTCCACTGAACTCCAAATCCTTCGCCTTACCGAGCACATCACGGCGGCCTTCAACAGGGGACAGTACACTGGTGCTGTCTTCCTGGACGTCGCAAAGGCCTTCGATACGGTTTGGCATGAAGGCCTACTGATGAAAATGCTCACCAACCAATATCCCATATCCTTTACCAAACTCATAAAATCCTACCTACACCACCGAAAATTCCGCATCCAAATCCAAGATTCCCTTTCCACCACCCGTCCCATGGAGGCCGGTGTCCCCCAGGGCACCGTCCTGTCCCCACACCTATACACCATTTACAACTCCGACATCCCACATCCCCCCAACACCAACATATACTTATACGCCGACGACCTGACAATCACATCCCAATCCGTAGATCCTAGATATTCCGTCTCCCTCCTCCAAAACTCCTTAGACCAACTTGAAACCTGGTGCAACAGGTGGAAAGTCAAAATTAATCCCAACAAAAGTTCGGCTATCCTTTTTACCAAACGAAAAATCCCACAAAACCTCGACAGACTGACACTATCCCAGGAACCCATCTCCTGGAATCGACAAACACGATACCTGGGCGTGACGATGGACCAGCGTCTCACGTGGAAACCGCACATCGTGGAGACGGTGGCGCGAGCGAAGACCACCAGGGCTAGGCTCTATCCCTTACTCAAAGGTGGAAACACCCTCAGTTTAAGGAATAAGCGAACGCTTATCAAGGTGGTACTTCAACCGCAGCTAACCTACGCCTCCACGGCGTGGGGTCACGCGGCAAAAAGCCACTTAAAGTCATTACAGGCTGTGGAAAACATAGCCCTCCGCACGGCCACCGACGCGCCCTGGTACGTAAGAAACACTGACATATTACGAGACTTACAATACACAAACGCTACACAGACAATAAGACAAAACGCGGAGAAACGGTTTGACGTAGCCGCTAGACATGACAATCCCCTCCTCAGGCAAGCCGTTGACTACGTACCCGACGTGACCGACAAACACAAAAGACCTAGACACCAACTTTTTGACCCTGGGTGACCACCCCAACGACCCCCCCCCTGCCCGCTAACCTTTTCTGTTTCAGAGACAGCCAGGATCAAGAAACGAAGACAACGACACACACACACACATACACACCCCCCATACCCTCCTTAACCCCTCCCCTCCCGCGCTAGCCTAAGGGCCACCTTAGCAAAGCGCATCCCAGGCTGCATAGCCGCACTACCCTACCCAACCATACCACACATAAACATGACACTACCCCCGGGGTTTACACAGACGAGCCGGCGAAGCAAGAAGAGCGCCAGAAGAAAGGGCCCTAGCCGGCGGGGCCCAGCCAGGACAAAAGGAGGTCCCACAAAGCGCCTACACCGGCCGCATTTGCGGTCGGGGTAGACGACGGATGGGGCCCACCTACGAAGGCTGTCCAGACCTACACGAGATGAGGCAGGATAAAGAGGGATAATCCCCCTCGATCCCAAATCATTGAGGCCAATTTCTAGCCATGGAATAATGGCGCGGTAAATAAAAAGTATCGAAAATAATTTAACGATACATATGGGACACTAGCGCCCTCTTATTTTTGTAAGATTTTTGTTTTCATGGAGTTCGGGCTCCTTGTGAAGTCTCCATGGCTACAACCAGGGAGACTAGTGTAGTCTCCATGGCTACAACGACGACTCCTTAAATTTTACTTTGGGTCATAAAATGGGATCCGAATTTATATGCGCGACCCATAAAAGTCTTCATTACTTGTATAAACTGCACATTTGTACGTATCACGTATCCGTTCGAGCGAGATCGTTGTAGTAAAATGACAGAAGCCGCTTTCCAATTGACAATGAAAGTACTTCGCAAGCACTTCCAAGAACACTTCAGATCATTTTGCGTTCCAATAAGCTGGAGCATTTTACTCTTAAAGTGTTCCTGCTTGTTTTACCTTGCCCCTTCATGTACCGCCTTTTATTGATGAGCTTTATACTCTCAAATTGTTTTCATTCTATGTGAAGTTGAGATTTTTTTAATATGTTTTATTATGGTTCATTATTCTTGCCACTGTTCCTTAATAAGTGAAACTTATATTAGGTTTTGGCTTTTGACTCAAAATATTAAAAATAAGTACATGAAAATAATTTAAAGAATTACGCGTTTCTCTCGGAGGTGTTCCAATTGTTTATGTTTAGAATATTTAAATGAGTAGAAATGTAGAAGAATACTTCAGGAGAGGAGCAGTTGCCTGGCAAGATAGTACCCAAACAATTTCTTTTTCTCTCTCTATCACTTTTCGACACTATCACCATAAGCGTGCTTCATCTATATATGCTCTAAGGCTTCGAATGATCGAAATTAAAATGTACTAGTTTATGGATGAAAAATAATTTTGTTGTGCTGAATAAAATTCGATCGTTTTAAAAGTGGTAAGCAGTTACAGATAATAACTTGCCAGTTCAGAAATAGGCCTATCTTTTTTTTTAATTCGGGGCATACCGAACCTATTCATTTATTCGCAGTTGTCAGTACTGATATTTCAAAATTTAAAAGTCAGGGATTTACACGAAAGCAAAACAATATCCTATAAGTAAAACAAATTATACAGAAGATTATGTAGAAGAGCAGTAATAGCAATATGATGTAAAATTGCATAATTTTTAAATAAATCTAAAACAGAATTTGAAAATTTTCAAGGTTTTTTATCCAGTCACCTATAAAATGAAAGAGACAAATGAATTAGTTGACGGCGGCGTTTCCCTCAACAGTTTTGTCAACACAAAGTTTCACTCATTTGTGTTCAAAATACTTTAAAAAATGGAAGCGTGCAGCAGCACCACATCAAACCAGAAAATTAAGCCAAAAAGCAGGAAACCTGATGGACCCCGTACTCCCAGAAGCGAATTTGAAATGATTAATGAGAAAATCAGATGCATTCACACTCCTCTTATAGATTTGAAACAAATTCGACCCGAGGAAAAATTTTTGGGTAGATTCAGATTGTATGTTGGAAACATCGCCAGTTCTGTAACTAAAGAGGATTTAGAGGGCCTATTTAAAGTGTTTGGGGAAGTTAACGATACCTTCATCCAACAGAATAAAAACTTTGCCTTCATAAGGATGGATTACTATCACAATGCCCTCAAAGCTAAGCAACAACTAAACGGCAGTGTTCTGAAGGAGCGTAAAATTTACATAACTTTCTCTCCTCAGGCCAGCATTCTCGTAAAGCATTTATCTCCTTCGGTTAGTAACGAGTTGTTACATATCGCTTTTAGTGTATTCGGGGAGGTAGAATACTGTTTCATTATTACTGATAAGCGTGGGAAATCAACAGGAGAGGGCGTAGTGGATTTTGTGAAGAAAGGTTCTGCTACGGCTGCCAAGAAATATTGTACCGAACACATGTTCTTCATCACGTCTTCTTTGAAACCTGTTACTGTTGAAGATTATGTACCCCCGCCCGATATGGATGGAATGCCAGAAGAAATGGTAATATTAAAGTCTACAATAACATCTGAAAATATAATGTCAGAAAAATTTCATTTTAGGTTCGGAAGTCTCACTCCTTATACGAAGAAAGAGAAATGGGGCCCAGATTTGCTATTCCTGGGTCCTTCGAGTACGAATATGCTCAGCGTTACAAAGATCTGTGGCAAAGCTACAATATAAAACTAAATATGCTTAAAGCAGAACAGGAATCGGAAGAGCGTAAATTGGAGATAGATTCGATGCGGGCAAGGTACGATCACGAGACTGAGAGATTGAAGAATATGATAAGGCAGCGTGAGCTGGAGAAAGAAAGATACTGTCAGAAGCTGGAGGAACAAGCTAGGCAGTCACAGAGGGTGGAAAGTCTTTTGCTGGAGGACGCCTCAAAAATTGAGTTCAAACCACCCGATAATCTTTTCATGCAGGCATCGCAGTTGAACGATATGTTGGACTCTGAGGAACGGGAAATGCAGGTTAGGCAGTAATTTACACCAGACAATTCATAAATGAATCGATACAGATTAATTAGGTGCATGTAGTGGATTCTAAAAGTGGTGTTTTAATGCATCAACGTATTTTTATATATAAGAAATTGCTCCTTTTAGTTGCTAAGTATTTTAAAGATGTCAAAAAACTTTAGTTTTTTCCAAATTATTCTAAAACACTGTCCGATTTAAAAAGATGTAATTTTTTGACATCGTAACCAAAGTAATTGCATTTACAGAAATGAGAAAAGTACCCCATCACTAAACACATGATGGTCATATTATGTTACAGGTGATGTTATTTTAACTCTTATTTTATATCAAAAGCTTTTTCTCAACAAAAAGCATTTCTCTCGCAAATTTTTTGTTTCTACCGGTTTTGTCGTAATTAAATGTTGTATTAGTCATCACCAAAACATTTTTTTAACAGCCATTGAAAATTTGATAATAAAAATTAAATATTAGAATTTCTTTCCCTTTTTTGATCTGGATTATGTTTGGAAGTATAACAAGTAAATCACTATTATACTTTGTCGGCATTTCATCATTTTTTTACTACACCATCAGGACTTTTACAGGAATTACATTATATCCTTTTTATTTACTATTTTAATTTTGTATGTAAAATAGAAAATTATTCCCAATTTTATTCTTAAAATGTACTTATGAAAGTAGTTACAGTTTTTGATATATAAAGTCCTGAGGATGTCATTAGAAATGAAGAAACTTTGATGAAGTGTAACAGTGGTATTTTTGTTATACTTTCTAACCTAATTCAGATCAAAAAGAGGAAAAAGTAACAGACAGGTCAACAACAATTATTTAAAGATTATTATAAACAATCACCATTTTTAATCATTTGTTTAAAAAATTAAAAAAAAAATCATAATATAATAAATTTGAAACTCTGTGATCATCTTTATTTGAAAGGCATTAAATTAGATTAGAAACTACCATATACAGTGTGTCCAAGATAAGGCGATGGGATAACATTAGGATCTAGGAAACGGTAAGAGATACGGGTTGCCTTAAATTAGGAAAAAGTTGTGTTTTTTTATACCTAACAATATGCCATTTAGAAAGTTTTAAGATTCCGGGTAGTTCCGGAGACATTCGGAAAAACCCGAAATTTTGCAAAATTGTTATTTTTATTGTTATTTTCTTCTGGCTTTATTTGAAAACGAATTTCAAAATAAATTGCATATTTATAGTGCCACTTTTTTCGCTCTATCCAATGGTGGCAACATTTTTCCATTCCAACATTTTGTCTTCGAGGGGCCATCATCAGCGTTAATTTTTTTAAATACGTCACTGCTATTTTTATGACAAAATTTAGACATTTCTAATTTTGAATTAGATGATATTACTATTGTAATCGCTTAAAAAGGTTTATCATTTAAAATTTAAAAAATTAAAAATTTTTCCTGAGTACCTATGGCTCTGAACACATTCAAAATATCTATTGGAGGAAGTCATAATAGTATAGAAGTCAATACAGCGCAAAATATCCAATATCTTTTTTACTACTATTAGCTAATTAGAAATAATAAAACATTTCATAAATTCCTATTATTTTTTTATTGGGTACAACTCTTTTAAATTACTAATTAAAAAAAATTGTTGGATATTTTCTGCTGTATTGACTTTTATACTGTTATGACTTCCTCCAATAGATATTTTGAAACCGTTCAGAGCCGTACTCAGGAAAAATTTTAAATGATAGCTAAAACAAGCTAAAAATCTTCTTAAGCGATTACAATAGCAATATCATCTAATTCAGAATTAAAAATATTATTAATATATTTAAAAAAATTAACCCCTTGAAGACGAAACATCGGATTGCAAAAATGGTGACGCCATTAGATAGAGCGAAAAAAGTGGCACTGTAAATATGCAATTTATTTTAAAATTCGTATTAAAATAAAGCCAGAAAAAATAAAACGATTTTGCAAAATTTCGGGTTTTTCCGGATATCTACCCTGAATTTTAAAACTTTCTAATCCTAATGCTATCCCATCCTTATCTCGGACACACTGTATACTATTGTTCTTTTTTAACAAATTTTTTTTTGCTACTAAAAATGGTGACAATTTCCAATAGTTTCTAAATTTTGTTTACAGATGAGATTTGTATCAAAAATGTATTGGAAAAATAACTAATAAATTAGTTATACAAAAAGTGTTAGGAATACAAAGAAAAATTATAAGGGAGAAAAAAACTTGGTAAAAGACCCCTGCCCCTAGATGTTAAACTGAAAGCTAAAAAAAATAGGAGCATCTATATTTTTGATGTTATGATAGTTATTCCTCAATTTTAAAAAAAATCAGCTTTCTTTTTCTTTTCAGTGTAGCAAAATATTCATTTAATAAAAAAGTAATACAAAATGTCAAATAAATAAATATTATTAATATATAATTTTTTTAAATCTTGTACATACCAACTTATTGCAGATAAGGAATTCATAAATTATGTATTCATCACAATGTCTGCATTCATTGTAAAGCTAATCATTAAAATTTGAAAAATGTACAATACAATAGGACTTCTGAGAATGCTTTTTTTTCAATCCTCAGGTGATTTTCCTTATGCATAGGTCGAATTTTTAAATTCAACAATTTATTAAATGTTTCTTGCCTTTCTCTAATGAGAAGGATAAATAATTGAATTGAAATAAATATTTTTCTATCTATTTAGAAATTCTTTTATATTATTTCAACATTTCGGTACCTTCTTTAGTTTTTGAGTTGCTTTATAATTTGAAACATTTTTTAAATAAAATGGTATGCTATTCCACTCGACAGCTTGAAATATTGCTTCTACCAGTCCCTTTTATGTAAATTAAGTTTTTTTCAGCCAATAACCATAGTTAACAAGATAAATTCACCAATTTTGAGCAACCTTTGTGAATAATTTTCCATTTTATACTTAGATTTAATGTATTTTTCAACAATATTCACAAATGGTGACCAAAAATTAAACCTTGTATTTTTTAGTGAATTTTGAGGGGTCTTATAAAGTTTTTATCTAAGACACTTCGTTAAAAATATACAGGGTGTTAAACTTAAAAAAATGTTTTTAATTTTTTTAAATAATTTAAAAACTAGTAAGTGAAATAATTTGAAATTGAGCACATGTATGTGAAACCACTTTTACTTAAATGACATGACAAACACTAATCATTCCATTATTTATTCGAATAAAGAAATTAATAACATAAGTCATCATTTTAATAATTTTATTTGAGTAAATGCTCAAAAATTTCCACGAATACAGGTGCGACATCTTTTTAGTAACAAAAATTTAATTTGTTCCAAATTTACTGTTGCTACAGAATAGAATACAAGGTTTTATTTTTGGTCAAAGTTTGTATATCTTGTTATTGTAAAAAGTTTAACTTGCATTGTTTTTAATTATTATTAGCTGAAAAATTGTAAATTTGATTCAATCAGAGCGTAGTAAGGGCAACAATTAGATATGCCAAGCGGAATAACATACATGTATAATTTTTTTACACAAAAAGTAAAGTAGATACCAAATGTTTACTAGACAAGAAAGTTATATATCTGACTATTTCAGAGAATAAAAAAATGGAATATATTGATGTGACGTGTCAATACTTTTTTTTTTTCAAAAAGGTGAAAAACATTTCTATTTGCACCTAACTTAACCCTTTTAGAGGAGGCACCCCAATGTAACAATTTTGTATGATACACCCCCCCATAAATTTCAACAAAATTTCCATTTCCCCGACCACATCTACAAGTAATAAAATAATGGCAACATACTTTCAAAATGTGTTTACATAAAAAAAAATTTTCTTATAACTTTTTAGGAGCAGCAATGGAGAATGGCAGAATTTAGAAGTGACTACGATATGGGCAGCTACCAAGAACGCTATTATGAACATAACAGTAGTAGGCGAAAAATACCAGAAGTCATCGTTCACTGCCAAAAAAGATCCAGATTTAACAAATAACGAATTGTTGCTTTTTATTATTTTTTTTTAATGTTCGTTTTGTAACGGTTATAATAATTAAGTAAAAGATTTGTCCTCTTTGAACTTTATTAAAATGGTGTTTGTTTTTAAAAATGTTTAATAATTGAGGCAGTAAATAATAAAAGTGTGCTTTAAACAAATATATTTTATTTTATATGGTACGAATTATGTGTACAATTTGTAAATACTTAAAATACTTTTGAAAACGTAAACTTATAAAGTAAATAACAACTATTGCCATATCTTTCTTTAATTTCATTATTTACCTGTACATACTCTAGAAGTAATATTAACTTCTTGCATCATTGATTGTAGCGGGTACTGTAACTTCCAGCCCATTTAGCTTTTCGGATAGAATTATTTGGCAACCTAATCTAGAAGTTTCAGTTAGCTCGTAAGCCAAATCAAGCATGTCCATCTCTTCATCAGTAGGTTTGTCGGGCAAGCCGTCATAATCTTCTCGTTTCAAGATCAAATGACATGTAGAACAAGTCAAGGTACCTTCGCATGCACCGTACCCATCCAAGTCTACATTATTGTTTACTACTACATCTAATAATGATTCTCCTACTTTACCTTTGGCTTTTATGCGTTCACCATTGGCCTTTACAAATGTTACTTCAACCCTAGAAAATTTATCTATGTCCCTTTATCTTACAAAAGCAGTAAAAACTTACTCCTTTCTATTAAGTGCAGGTTGAGCGGGTTGCCCAGTTGACAAGACTCTTGGAAAGTATCGTAATTTTCTCGAAATAGTCAAACTATTCCTCAAGAAACTGTTTAAAGCCATACTGCTTGTTAGAAATAGGCGATTATTAGACAGCTTTTAGAACAAATATGATAACGATCATTAAAATATCATAATCAGATATAATTGTTAAAATTAAGTTTGTACGGCCGTGACCTTTAACCTCTCATATCACAAATTATATCACGCACGCCACCACTATTATCTGTGACTGATTATCCACAAGTATTAAATCTCCACATACTTCTTTCTCTAAAATTAATAAAAAATAAACTTGAAGATTCTTAACGCGAAATTTACCACAACAGCAACATAATTTTGACCACAGAACATTCCATTTTTACCGTAAATCGCAGATTTCTAGATTTTGAGTTTTGACACTAGAGAATTGTTTTTAGTGTTGGGATCACTCGAATGAAAAATAACCGATTATCCGGTTATTGCAATAACCGACATCATTCGGTTATCAGTTATTATGAGTTATTATATGAGTTATGAGGCAGTGGCGGCACGTGTCATTAACAAACAAATGACAGACAATATACCCCAGACAGGCACACACACACCCCCCACACACACACACCCCGCACACACACGTACAGAGAAACGCAAAAAACACACGGCAGAATCCTCTAGCGAGGACGAAGCCCCAAGACATAAAAAATCAGACAAAACAAACAAAACACGACCACAAACACCAAACACGCGCCCCCCGACACCTAAACCCTCCACAAGCGCCCTACAAAACACCCCACAAAACACACAACAGACAGACAAAACCAAACAAGTCCCCCCGGTAATCTTGCGAAAGCAAGAACGGTGGACACAAGTACAAAAAATACTCACGACACTTAACATTAACTATACAAAAGCCAAATTGACTAAAGACGGTATAGCCATATACCCAAACACACCTAATGACCACAGACTATTGACAAAGACACTGACAGACAAAGGCGAGGAGTACCACACCTTCACCCTCAGCGAAGAAAAAACGCTGAGGGTGGTGATACGCGGAATACCTGC